TTCAGTAGACAGTGGCAGTGGAAAGGGTCTTCTATCTGTGCAGAGCCCTCGCCACAAGCAAGTCCAAGGTATCGGAAAAGAAAGACCAGACGTCCAGCTGTTTGTACTAAGAGAATGCATGTGCTGCCTTTATTGCCAGGAGAGTGTGTGCTTGTGTGTGTCTTTATTGCAAGTGCTAAGAGGTCTCTCTCTTGTAGGAGGGAGCAGTCTTATATACACAGACTTACAGCACAGTGGAAAAACCCCAGGTGGAAGAGAGCGTGTTTTCCTCGTGCTAGATGTTGATGTCAGATGGGCAGTGCGGGGGCAGTAAGCCAGGACTAGAAAACAGGATGCACCTGTGGCTGTCAGCTGACAAACAACTCAGAGACCCTGTGAGGCTGGGCCCCAACGTATCTGGGCCATGTTCCTGGCGGTTCTCAGTCTTGTCTCCCACCAGCCGTGAGTAACCTCTTTCATAGGACTGGGTTTCCAAGTGCCTGAGGAAGGGAAGCTGTCATTGTCAGTGACCTATATTTAGCCCTGGAACTCAGGCTGTCACCAGAGATCACTGGAAACTTGCCATCTTCTGGGGCAAAGGTCACAACCCCCACTTGGAAAGCACTGTATTATGCCAAGGATTGAAGAGAACTTTCCCCAGAGTTTAATCACTTCTCTATTATTAAACTACAAAACTTAAAGAACACTTAGTTCTAAAGACCCCCCTTTTTTCCTACCTGAATGGGGGGGGAGGAGAAGCTAATTCAGTCCTTACCTTCCTCAGAAACCAGCATCACCTTCAGTCTGACATAGAATCTAAAAGAGCCTGAGGACAGTTAGATGACCCAGCAGGTAAAGGTATTTGCCGGCTAAGCCTCATGACCTGAAGCCAGTTTCTGGGACCTGAAAGACCCCCAGAGTGGGGAGACCCTCACTCAAGTCTCAGGATAAGCTGATGCCCCAATAATTCAAGAGAGACCGTTCTTGCTGCAAGCACACGAGGTTTATTCGGGGAACCAGTGCACTGGGGCCGAGCTCATAACCCTTGCAGGGGCAGAGGAGATTGACCCCTAGTACCTGCAGTCGGGGGTTTTTAAAAGGGAAAAACCAAATCGGGGAGTTAGGCAAGCATCATAAAGGATGAGAAGTTAAATGATAGCTTATGCCTTAACAGGAAGGTTATCTCAACCAAGCATTCTTTGGGCATTGTACAGTTAAACATTGAGCAGGAATGTGGTGAGCTAGTTTCTGGATCAGGGAATGCTATCTTTTAAGTTTATCTTGAGGTCTCCGGTTTCTCAGGAGAGGGCAAAAGGACAAGTCACTCTGTGATGGGCTAGTCGCTAGGGTCTAAAAATGTTGAGTTGGGATCTCTCAGACCTACATGGCAGAAGGAGAGAGAACCTACTACTCCCCCAAATTGTCTTCTGACCTCCTCATACAGAACACAGTGCCTGCTGGGGCATGCACATGCGCACAAACACACACACCAACCATTCAGTACCCATTTAATAACAGACTCAGCTCTTAAAATGGCATAACTCAAGGGCTGTATTTTCCAACACACTAGTCCACTTGCTACATGCATCTATGTATACTTAAATTTGAATTAATTTAAACTCTCAAGCTCCAGTTTCTCAATCTTACTGCCTGCATTTCAAGTGGCTACTTAGTAGTGACTTCTATATTGGGCAGCACAGACTATGAAACCTTTCTGATGTTCTAGAAGGCTCTCTTGGGTGGCCCTGGTCCAGAATGTACCTGGATCCTCCATGCTATGGCAGGCTCATAATCTTAACCCAGTGCTTCTCAGTGCTGCCCACGTGTGTGCCTGTGTTTATTCAACTATGTACTGTGTGGTGCTGAGGACAGAAGCCAGAGCCTCAGAAGCCAGAGCCTGTGCTTGCTAAGCAAGCACTTTGAGTCTGAGCTACACTCCCAGCCTTCTATCTTCATGTGAATTCACCTAGAAACTCGCAAATAAAATGCCTAGGTCTCACCTCAGGAGATCTGAGTTTATTGATCTGGGCTGGAGCTGGGTGTAGCGTTTTCCACAGCTATTCACGATCTCTGCTGTGCAGCTAGAGGCTGAGGATCTCTAAGTCAAGTCAGTAGGTTAATAACTGCTGAGACAAGGCACGAAGCCCAGACTCTGGGAAGGGCTGCAAGTGGACCAGTGCTGCTGGCTACTCTTACCTAGCAGCCAGAGATCTATCTCCAAGGAGGTGGAGGAGATCTAAAGTAAACGGAGGAAAACTTTACATCTGATTTTCTTCCTGAATTTACAAACTGATCATTCTAAAACACATTGTTTTAAACTGTTTGAAACACTCATAATTTTGCTAGGCTCACAGAATAGAATTTAAACGGTAGCTTCAGTTAGGGAATGTAAATTTAGTAGACAGCTATCAGTCATGATGATTCTATAATTTTTTGCCTGAACTTAAGTCTGCGACATAGTAAGGATAATGACATCTAGATACTTGATAGATTTTGAGAAATGTTAAAAGTGCCGTGATTCTTAAAATGAATATGTTTTTCTACTTAATAATTGAAATAATTTCTTATCCATGAAACAAATTAACCTTGTGGCCACAGTGTCTTTTGGCAACAGCATGGTAATATATGTCATAGACTGTGTGGAAGGCCTTTCTCTGTTTAAATTTGCAGACATGATGGAAGACATTTTTTCTATAAATATACAAATTCCACATGTATATACACACACACAAAGCTAAGTATAATGAAAACTTTAAAACTTGTGTATTACTTTTTTTTTTTTTGGTTTTTCGAGACAGGGTTTCTCTGTGGCTTTGGAGGCTGTCATGGAACCAGGCTGGCCTTGAACTCACAGAGATTCACCTGCTTCTGCCTCTGGAGTGCTGGGATTAAAGGTGTATGCCACCACTGCCTGGTCAAAAACATGTGTAATGCTTTTAATTTGCAAGTATATATACTTTAAAAATTGATAATTGTGAGAATGAATATGTTTTACATTTGTTTTTTTAATTATGCTGTTATTCATTAATATTCTTACTACAGTACTAACTACCTTTTACATTAGAAACATTAATTTCCTGTGTAGTTGTACCATTGACAATTTATTAATTTGAAAAATAATTCTAAATTATTTTTCAGAGTTACTGCCTTAATCAAGTCTCTTTTTTGCTTTCCAACTTTCAAAAGATCTTTTCTTCCCAAGTTTATATTAAAGTTCATTTCATTATTGACTGCTCTCATTGTATGTGCTTATAAGTGTGTGTGTGTTTATATCTAAAAATGCACAAATTTTACCATCTTGTGTATCTAATACTTACGTTATTTGTCTGTCTCATTTAAACCTTGAATTTCATCAGCTAGAATAAATCTTAGACGTGAGGTGGGAACCAGCTTCACATTGCACTCATTATCTGGATTTCTGTTCTGTATCACTTATATTGTTGTGTCAGTCTACACAATCCCAATTGGATTCAGTTGGTACCACAACCCATGAAGCCTGGGTTCTGAAATCATGGCTGGAGGCATCAAGGGAATGAAGAAAAAACAGGCACACACACAGACAGACACACATACAGTAAAGTTGATATCAGATGGGATCTGCTACTGAAAACTGGAACTTCACCTCAGATACAGCACAGAGGGCGGGGTTAGCTAGTCTTTATAGGTGGTCTCTGTAGACCATCAATTTCAGACTGTAAACATCCAGGAGGAGGAAGCTGCAATTGTTAGTCTTTGTATACCGTGGTCAGTCGTCCATAAACACTCACAGGCAGACTTCCCTGAGGAGAGCTCTGCCATCCCTCTGAATCTCACCTGGGTAAGACTTTACCATCTGCATGGGGCTGAGGCATTGGAGTCCTGGACATGGCTGTGCCCATGTTAACAATGTACTTTGACTCCTTTTATTACCTGTAAATTGGTGTAGTTGCCAGGGGATTTCAGGCAAAACCCCAAAATAGTTGTAATCTTACTATTTCTAGTGATTGAAAAGCTGAATTCAACTATTCCAACATCACCATCAATCTTTATATGAATGACCATATATATAAAATAAAAATTTGAGTGTTATGAAATACAAAGCTAAGCTAAAATCAAAATATTAATTTTAATTTTCCAAAACATTCATGTGTGCTTGTGTGTGTGTCTTTTTGTCTAGTTTTATTTATTCTTTTTGTGACCCATTGAGCAAGAGTGCAGATTTATTTATGAGAGCATGCTACACCACTGAATAAAATAACTCCCTTTTCTTGAGCAACCATTAACTGCTAGGAGGAGTCAGGCTTCTTTGAGACTCTCCTCTGTGGGTGATAGCATCTCCACAGGCTCCATTTTGTACAAATAATCTCACCTCTGAGTTCATGAGTATAGTTTTAAATGGCTTACTTTTAATTTTAAAAATTAGGTGTCTGTGCGATGGTTTGTGTATGTTAGTGCATGGGCTCACAGAATCCAGGAGAAAGACTTGGACCTCCTGGCACTGGAATTACAGGTGGTTGTGAGCTGCCTGATGTGGGTGCTAGGACAGAACTAAGTAAACATTCCTAACTGCTCAATTAACTAATTATCTTTCCAGCCCCCATAAATTCATGCTTTTTTTAACTGATAGGAGTTAAATAGAGTAGCAGCTAGTGTCAATGATAGTAAAACCTAAAATAATCGCTTACCAAAAGCCAAACCAACCTCAAACAAGCAAATGTCAAGGAAGATATGGCCTTACATCTTAAAGTAGTGCTATCATTTGGCTTTGTATTTGGACCCTTTCTCCATTGGCCCAACAGGGTTTGTTGTAGTGACATGACTTTGGATGCTTTAGTCTGGGGTGCACTGTGATATTTAGATACTGTGTTACACAGTTATAATGTGAATACGGCCTTTATGGCTGCTAGAAAGGATGCCTTGTATGTTCCGTTGACTGTGCCTTCTATAAGAGGGGGTGTCAATGTCACATCATCTGCCAGTCAAAGTACCTTGAACTGAAATTGTGGATCACTAACCTAGAGAAATGTTTGTTATTGATTTAGGGGCTGGATGCTCTCAGCAAGAAGGCAAAGGCGCCCACTAATTGATTCTGTGAGCCTGAGTTTGCAGGACCACATTGGCTACTTCCACCCCCTACCCTCCGTGAGCACTTGGAACATGAAGACAAGTAGAACAGGCTGCGAGCCCTGAAGGATAGGCAGAATCTCTTCCAGAAAGAGGTGAGATCACACCCGTTCATTTTCTGTTCTCTTGGGAAAACGACTTTGTAGTAAAGACAGTTATCTGTTCATCCCACATCTGTACTCATCCCAGGAGAGTAACCAGGGCATTACTGAGCAGAGGAGCAGGCTTGACAGGAAACCACTCATTATCTTTACTTCTGTGTCACTCCCCTGGCAAGGACACTTAATTTTACCCTCAGCTTTCACTGGGCCATTTTTACCACTGCAGTAGAGCACTCCTGGGTGACTCCAGTAGAGGTGACTACCTGCTGTCTGTTTTGTGACTGTCTTAGACTTGACTTTAGCAGCTTTGAGATTGCAGCATTTTGTTTGAAGGTACGTCTTAGCCACCTTTGAAGCTATGGGTTTCAAAACACAGCCCAGAGAAGCTGAAAACAAGGAACACATTTTGATCCCACTGTTTCATATTGGTTCCATAAATACAGAACACACACACATGAACGCGTGCACAGGTGTGCTGTGTTCATGCACAGGTGCATCTGCACACACACACACACACACACACACACACACACACACACACAAAATATCATCAGGCCTTGCAAACTATATAGTAGGCTATAGGAAAGTCCTTTAAAGAGCCTCAGGCTAAGAGGGCTGTGAACTTGGCATAGAAACGGGAAATGGCCTCCAACGAAGAGGGTGAGCTCCAGTTTCCAGTATGAACAAGGTGTCTGCACCCTTTCCTTTGCATATATTACTTTGTGTGTATGTGTGGTGCTGGAGACAAACCCAAGTCCTTTTGTTTGCTGCACAAATGAGAGATCTTTCACTGAGCTGTTCCCAGTTCCATGTGTGCCTTTTCGTGTATAATTTATTGTACATAATGTCACACTGCCTAAAACAAAACAAAACAAGAAAACCTCATATACCACACTGTAACCAGAGTCAAACTACAACTAGTTTGCCATCCTAATGTCCTGAGGTGCTTGTCAATATTAGCACCACAGGTTTCCAGCCTTTAAGTAAGGGTGTTGGGACAATAAAGCCAGTCAGGATCTTAGCAGGTATTTCAATTTTAAGCGTTCCCAACACGGGAGTGATGATTCTCTTAAAGAATTAACTTAAACTGGAGATATGGCTCAGAGGTTAAGAGCATGTACTGCTCTCACCCAGAAGCCGAGTTTGGTTCCTAGCATCCATGCCAGGAAGATTACTGTCTGTAGCTCGAGTTCTAAGTGATAAGGTGCCTCTTGTGGCCTCTGACAGTACTGCATGCATGTACATACCACACACCCACACAGACATACACATATGATTAGGAACAAACACTTTCCATCTCCTTCTCCCTTTCTCTTTCAAGAACACAGTACCTTGTAAAAGCATGAAGAAAAAGCGTGGGGGATTTTTGAGTTTCCATAGTCCCCAAATCTATGCTGTACTATTAAAGCTGTTTTTTTACTGATAGTTTTAAAACTGATATTAAATTTTGCAATTGTTTCTCTGTGTAAATAAAAGAAATGATCTATGATCATCAAGGCACAAAATTGCAGCAATGTCTGTACAAGTTAATAGTAAGAACAAGAGTGATTAATTAAAGGAGTTCTTATGTTCACATATGCTGGATCACTGGACCGATTGCTGCACAGATACAATTATTTCCTATCTGAAGGAATTCCACCTAAATATCAGACTATGGTAATTTAAAATATAAATTTAAATGTTTTCAATATAATGCAGATAAAATTTTTTTCTTTGTCATTTTGTCACAAAGAAAAATCAAGAAGGGACCTAGCTGAGACCCATGGATGCTGCTAAAATTCTGTCCAATGAGTGAATCTGATCAGTCAATATTTTATAGCTTTTGTTTTATGGTGCTGTCTCACTTTGCAAACATCGTCCCAGCAATAACAATGAAGGCTCCATGGACTGCTTCTTGTAAATGAATCTTTTTATTTGTTCTAAAATTTCTTTTTGGCTGCTTTCTTTCACTTAATTCAGTAGCTATAATGTTTATTAAGAACAAGGATGAAGTCACTAATAGTACAATACCCCCTCATGACCTGTTCATGCCAACTGCTATTAAACCTGGCAAGGCAAATGGGAAGAAATAATTTCACAATTTTCTTTCACTTTTGTTTGGGAATGAAAACCAAGATTGAAAACTTCAGTTATCTGAAGAACATTTAGTTTCTCAGGCAGATGTGTAATTCTTCTTGCCTTTTGAATAAATGATCTTAGTTTGCTTTACAATGAACAGACAGTGTTAAGCTAGACTTCTCTTTAAAATCAAGTTATCCCTCTTTTCCTTTTGTCCTGAGCACAATTAATTTCCTTCTTTTGGAATAGACTTACTCTGTAGCTTAGACTACCCTTGAACTTGTATTTGTCTTCCTATATCAGTCTCCTGCATGCTGGGGTGTACGTGAGCTACTATGCCTGGCTCAGAATTAGGTTCTAATAGTGATTTGTTTTTACCCCCTCTCCAGGGAATGATCAACTTGGTTCTGGAGTGCATAGACCGCTTACATGTCTATAGTAGTGCAGCTCACTTTACAGATGTCGCTAGGATAGAAGCAGGGGAGTCTTGGAAATCCATTCTGAATTCTCTGTATGAGTTGCTGGGTAAGGATCATGGCTGAGTTTTTATGGAAAACAAGATTTGTAGTTTTACAGCATGCTTCGTAGTCAGGACTTTGAATTTTTAGTGGTGTTGATCTAAAGTCAATGACACTTTGTGGCTAAACCCTTTTCTGAGTGAGGAAGGCCACCATAGACTGAGTTGTGCCTTGATTAGGGCGGGTGGCTTCTGCAGGGCTCTAATAATAACCAGTATTACTTATTTCCTTCTTGATTCTCGTTAGTGTTACAAAGTCCCTTTCCTGTCAGCTCTGGTTTGTCAGGGGTTGTTCTAGTGTCCTCTTACAGTGTTCCCAGGATCTGGTTGGCCAACTTCTAGATATATTTTATTTTAAGCAACATTTGAGGTGGTTTGTAACATATTCCAGTGGCTCTGTGCAAATGCAGGTCTTCTTTAGTTCAACCTGAGCTACTCCAGTATCCTCTTCATGTCTCTTGCCAAGAACTTGGGTCAGTCTGGTTGTAAACCAGTAACCTGCTTTCATGGCAATTAGCATGTTACCTGTATGATACCACTCATCATAATTCCTATTAAATAATAACTGGGGTTGATTTCAAAGGCAAGACTATCAGCTTTGGGATTTTGTGTCTCTTTCATTTGATTTAATGCCTGGTGTATAGTAGATACACCAGGATATCTATTAATATATCGGTATTAAATGACTGAATTTTGATGGAATAGGAAAGTGTAACTGAATTTAAAAAATGATAAAGTAATTTCAATGTGAAGAAGAATGGGTAGTCAAAATCTTTGGAAAATCTTTAAAATACAATTAAACTTCATTAAGATTTATAGTCATAAAACAATTTATTCATAATTGTCCCTGTTAGAATTTTTAATGTTTTCTTTGGATGAGCACTTTGATATGACATTAAAATTAAGTGCATGCAGTTTGGTGCTTTCATGGAGCTGGCAATTGCATTCCTCTGAACAAGACCAGGGATAGTGAGGCTTTGTAGGAGTCTTGATTTGCTGTTTTCCCACAACTATTACCAGGATAAGGATTTTCTAGAAGAGTACATTTCCTTGCAAATGTGAAATTAATGACATTGAATTTAACAAAACAACAGCAATAATACAAACAAACAATAAAGACAGCAAGATGAGACAGGAAAAAACTTCAGTTTGGTGTATTTTTCCCTTTTTTATTTAAATTAGAAACAAGCTTGTTTTACATGTCAATCCCAGTTCCCTCTCCCTGCCCTCCTCCCCTGCCCCCCCACCAACCCCCTATCCCATCCCCTTTCTGCTTCCCAGGGAGGGTAAGGCCTTCCATAGGAATCTTCAAAGTCTGTCACATCATTTGGAGCAGGGTCTAGACCCTTAGTTGGGTGCATTTTTAACCTCGTTTGGTATCTTTTCAACACCACAGTGTAGCTTCTTTACATGATATGATGTGGATCGACTGTAGACAAACTGTATGTTTGGCCATAGGTGTGTTATAAAGTAGAATAAGTTGCACATGCATCAAGACAGTATGACACCTCAGTTTTCTCTTTATGTCCATTCTTTCCCTGGTCCCATCTCATCTGTCCCTTCCGCATGTTATGTACTCACCTTCCCATGAGTAAGTAACATGAACATGGGAAGTCATGGTGATTTGGGGGACTCAGGATTCAAGTTCCTTGCAGTCAAGCACACACTTAACCTCCCCTTGAAGCTACAAATCCCTTGAGGGTACTCCCTATAACTACACAGAATTTGATTATTTTAGAATCTATCGAAGTAGCTTTAGTATACTTTACAAAATGCTGAGAATTGTACAAGAATAGCAATTAGGCTTGTAGCTTCTCTTATTGGAACATGGTGAGAGATGTGACTTTAAAATAGTGCTCCTGTCCCAGTAGAGAGAAATTGTAGAGATGGTATGGGTGGAGTAATGTATCCCTGCCTTAAATATTATATAAATGGCAGTCTAACATAAAATTTAGCACAGTGTCTTCATTGTATCTGGAGAATCTGCTTCTTTTCTCTCCCTCCCTCCCTCCCTCCCTCCCTCTCTGACTTCTGTGTAGTCAGCTTCCCATAATCTGCTTTCCCTTTAGGACCTGAGCTAGCTCTTGCTAGATTTTCATGTTACATACTTTGCAGTGCACTTCCAGTTTGGTGTTGGGGAGGGAAAGGAAATGTTTTTCTTGAGAAAAAGAGCCCACTCTTTCCTCCCACCTTCTGAAACCCACACCTGCCATCTCAGAGTCCCAAACCAAAACCATTCCAGAAACAGAATGTAATACAAATTCTAATTGGTCTTCATAATAAAAACCCTGGGTCAGATAAAGTGTTAAATGCTGAAAGATCAGAGAAGCAGAAGCAGAATAGCCAGCCACTAGTTCTTACTTCTACCGAATCCTCAGACTGAATGGGTGATCATGTCTCTTAGGAATTCTCATACTGA